AAGAATTAAAAAAATTTGTATTATAATTTGTATTAGAAGGGATCACAACAAATTATCAGCTTATTTTCCAAATTCTTTCAAATCAAAAAAGATCCACACTTGTTTATGTCAATGGATCAACATCCTTGCTTCGAAGAGAAATCCCAACAATTAGTAGCAGAGGGCTTTCAAATCACAAAAGAACCACACTCGTTTGTATCTATGAGTCAGCATTCTTGCATATTGTAATGAATTTAGAGTAGAAATTTGTTTAGATTCAACCTCACTCCATCTGTCTCCATGATTACAGGTAGGAGCAGTGTGAAAAGAGAAGAAGGATGAGTGCTTTAGACCTCTGTCTACCGAAGGCAAGGAGTTCCGGTGAGGTGGAGTCTTGTCGAGAGCTTAAGGGGGCCGAGCGTCTAGGACATCTAGCTTGTAAGGAAAGGGGGGCTAGTTGTGAAGGAGAAGGCCCAAGCGCGGCGTCTCCGATGGAGGGGGCTTGAGGGCTTGGGATCGGGCAAACTCGGGAGGGGTGTAAACGAATCGAACACGAACGAACAAAACTTGTGTTCGTGTTCGATTCAATTGAAATTTAATTTGTTTGAAATAAGCTCGTGTTCGAAATTGTTCATGAAGTCATTATTCGTGTTTGTTTCTTAACGAACGAGCCGAACACGAGTTGTTCGCGAACGACTAGTCAGTTTGACATCCCTAATATTAATATATTTAAATAATATATTATATTAATAATATAACTTATATTATATAAATATATAATATCTATATTAGTATATTGGTATGATAATTTATTATTATTGTTAACTTATTATAAATTTTAATTTCTAAAATTTATTTTTTTAAAATATCATAAATTGTTTATATATAATTGTTTTAAATTATTTTATATTTCGAACAACAACGATTCGAACACGAACGAACGCTTCACTGTTCGTTTTTGGTTCGTTTAACTAACCGAACGAAAAAAATTTGTTCACGTTCGTCTCTTTTACTTATCGAACGAATCGAACACGAACTCATTGACGAACCGAACACGAACTGTTCACGAACAACAAGCTTTTTTGACAGCCCTAGGTGTGAGCATCTTGGGAGGAAAAATGGGGTTTAAAGCCCTTTTTTGGGCTGTAAGGGGTTTAAGTCTTATATTATAATTTTTTATTATCATTTTTTTTAATATAAACATTTCATTATGTGTGCTCCCCAATTCGTGCACAAAACTCTATCAATATGGTTATCCTACCTAGATAAACTCAACATTCTATAAGCGCTCGCACAGTCTGTTTTACGATCCAAGGTTGTCCGAGTAAATTCATCAACTATTAAGGCAATTTGAGCCCGATTTACATATATCGTGCTAAATGAGGTCCGTTAGTTGGTTCGGTTGAAGACATTTAACAAAAAAATGCTGACCTGCTTTTGCCTAAGTGACAACCAGAGCCCAGCAGACAGAAAACATACATCAATTGATCAAATTCTCTATAGGAAACCTGTCTTTTGGCCAAAGTTGTCTGGCAGAGAAAATGTTGATCGATTTTCATCTAAGTGAAAACCAAAGTCTAGCATATTGACCCTTGTCACATTCCCTTCAATATGCGCTAGAAGGGCTCAGATGAATTTCTTGAGCTACGGGGAATTACACATGTGTGAAGCACGGTCTCAAAGCGTTCAAGCAAACATTCTACAGATATAACATCAAAAAGTGATGTCAATAATGTTGTTAGACAAGAACAACCCAAAAAGGGGAGGCAACTACTGCCTTAACGAAGCTCCAACATTGCCGAGCAACAACCACCCAAAAGGGGAGATAACAACAACCTAAAAGAAACTCCACCATCGTTGGAAAACAAAAACTTAAATGATGAGGCAACAACAACATGAAAGGGACCCAGCACTCTGGAATATAGCTTTCTCCCAAAGAAATTGCCCTATATAAAGACCAAAATACAATACTTTGAGGCCAAATGATAAAACTTTAAAATTTTTAGCTCCAAAACCATCTATGAGCATGGAATGGTGAACACACGTGTACAAGTGTGCTTGCAACATGCATGGAAGCATACACAGTGCTGCTGCATGGGATAAGTTTTTGGCTCATCGGGCCACATTCACCGCCTCACACAATAGTTGCCTTCCATGATTTGTCGCGACCCAATATAATAGCGCAAAACCATTTTCCACCCACGGTGTGAATAGGTCCGACCCGACAACGACCATGCTCTGCAAATAGCTTCGTATTCTTAGCAAGCTTAACAGCTAGTTGTAGCACTCCAAAAACCATGTGCCCACCCCCCACCCCCCGCCCCATGCACCTGATCTCTTCCACACGCTTACCGGTTTATCCCCACAAGCACCATGACATCCCTGCTTGCATTTGTACTCTCTTACGGATCCCATTGCATTATAAATACATCTTGTACAATGGCGTGCACGCACCCATGCATTGTGGATGCTGCTGAAGATGTCTATCACTTCCCTACGACCACTGCCATTGTTGGAGTAATGTTGCTTGACCTCTATGATCATCTTTGAACCACAGATATTTGGCCGACGCCAACCATGACAATGAAAAACTAACAAAACTTTATAAAGTACACTAGACAATTCAAAATGCTTCAATATAAACTTTTGAAATATCTTTTTCTTAAGATGTCACAAACAACATGGCCGAAAAAAGGAGTAGTTGAAGCATCATCCATAATTTTTTATAATTTGGCATGAATCTTGAGGCATTTTTACTAATCAAAATTCTAGATTCAAATCCAAAATCATATGGGGCGACAATTTTAACAAATATAAAGTTAAATTAATTGACTCAATAGGATGAATCTGATGATACAAAAATTGGTTCAATCTAAATCCAATCAAGTTACCATTAAAGCATTTTGGAGGCTTCAGATCATTAATTGAATGATCAAATAAATTTCAAATTTGACATACTTATAGTCAAATTGAGCATCTTGCCAAGAGGAATCCAACGTGCCTAAGATGTCTTAGATATATAGCCATTAATGTCCTAAATACATTAGTAAACCTCCTATGATCAGGGGGTCAATATGAGCTGTCTGATCGGGTAATTACGAGAGTTATTTACCAAAGAACTAAATGTCTTTTCCCAAGGGATAAAAATTGACCACCTCTCTTCACTTGTGAGGGGGAGAATAAGTCAAATACTAGCGACGTTCTAGACTGAAAACCAAATGATAACTTTCAGTCTCTGTAGTCATCGAACACTGTCGACTACCGCCCGCCGGCCACCATCGATGTCTGTCGATCACCTCTGCTCACAACTATCCTTAGACTTTATGATGTAATGACTTATTCCGAATACGAAGAAACAACGTATCCCAAATACGATATAACAATGCATGTAGAATAATGTCGTATTGAAGATCCCTATATAACTCTCGACGACAACTACTTACGATATTTGTATTCAAAATACGATGACTTTTTCCAGACTCCTAAAGTTTTTAATAACATTATATTTGGTGTAAAGTTATGACTCTACTCTCTAAGCTGTGTGCATTCTTTGTAATTACACATTTATAGTAAAATATTCCGACTAAGCTAAGCTCGCGAGTCTTTTCTTTTTCAGATTTTTTCAAATAAAAAATCTAGGTGTTTCCTCCTACTGCTTTCAAATTATTTGTGTATATGTTTGATCATCGTACAACGCTAAAATGTAAAAATTATCACTCTGCTACCGTGAATCTTCTAGCACCCAACAAATATAATTTAATGAAATTGAAACTAAAAAAAATCCAAAATGAATCCATGATTTCAGTTTTTCATGTTATTTCATCCAAATTAAAATCAAGATACCTTTCACGTGAAGGTTTAAGCCTCATTTTTATGCAACTGGTTTCATATCAGAGGATTTACCATCATTGTTGTATAGCGGAAATTTTAATATTTGTTAAGGACTTTTATATGTAAAATTTTAATACTGTTTTTTAAATTAAAGCCATTATTTATCTACATGCATAGAGAGCCAGCTCGAAAAGGCTGAAGGAGCTGCTCGTTTGAAGCTCAACAGTCATAAATTAAACCAAACTTAAATCTTGGCTCTATAAATCTTTGCCTAAAGAGATGTATTTGACTTTTAAACATAAAAATAGTGATATTTGTGGTGTGATGTTAAAGATTTGAGTGGCATGTATGTTAATATGAATGTAAGTTTTTGATATCTAAACATATAAGAATTGTTTGGAAAACATGTAAATGCCGCTAAATTTTAACTAGTCAAAAGGTTTTATTTGCATTCTTATATTTAGGAGACTCCTAAAAGTAAAAACTAACATTTTGAGTTCTTTATATTTTTAATGGCGCCTCATTGTGGTCCAGTTTTTGTTTTTTCTTTTTCTTTTTTGCTATATCCCTCAATCTTACAAGAAATAATTATTATGTCCGGATGTGCCTGATATCTGCACGTCTGGACAACTATTGATAGACCGCCCCATCACCCACAAATCAGATATATGTTGATGTGGCGGCTCGCGAATGACAGTCAAGATATGGGAAGCCTGGAGCTTAGAATTTCTACAATTTTACACATATATAAAAAATCTAATAAATAACATACCATAAACATAAACATGTAAAATGCACAAACTTCATTCCTACATATAACACAGCAACAGAGATCTATTCAAACTTGCAGAAGAATGCTGTACCGTTTGAAAAATACCACGCAGAATCACAGTTCTAGATCAAAGCCATTGTCATGTATTTTACCCGACACATTATTCAGATTGTATTTTAAACCAATATTTTTTAACAGAATATCATTATGCCTTAAGAAATCATTGTTGTAAATCATTTTAGCATTATACTTCAGCTCCAATTTTTTATTAACCACGCCGAGCTTTTACAATACGAAAGAAATAATTCAGCAAATAGCAATGAATTGAACAGCACACAAATAACCCCTTAATCATTTATTTCAAGTTAACCTTTTGATTCAACGCCAATCTAAACAGTTTCCTGTTGACACCAGCAGCCTAAAGCACTGGAACACTCTGTTCGTTCCAGAAGAAATTTCCAGGATCCACCAAACCCTTAACCTTCGCCAACCTCTGAAAATTCCCCTTGAAATACTTCGTCCCCCAAACTTTAGCAGCCGAGTAAGTGGTCCCCTTCACATCCGCATTTCTCCCCAAATCAATATCCTTATAGTTATAATAAGCTGCCCTGGGGTTACTCGACACATATGGCGTCATGAACCGATGTAACTTCCTCATCCATTCCAAATGCCTCTCCGTCACACCTTCCTCCGTCGCAAACCACCTCATAAAATACTGAATGTTATAGATATTCCCATTTCTATGAGGAAAGGCAACAGCATCCTCCTTTATCTCACTCATTCTCCCACCCATTGGGTCAAGTATAAGCACCACAGGTTCATCATTAGCTTCCATCAAAAACTTCCAAATCTCTTCTAACCCGCTTTCTGAAATTGGTTTTTCAACAAAGTCCGAGGCTGCCTTAAAAGAGCCATTAAACTCCGGCTTTCTGTCCAACAGGGTCTCCAATGGCTTCCCTGTCAGACCGTAGAAAAACAGAACTGACTCGAGCCAACTCACTTCAGTGCAATCAGAGGCCATCAAACCAAGCTCTGGAAAACTCTGTTGTGCCAAAGGGAGAAGCTCCTCCTTCCGCCCAAGATAATATGAGTTAAACGTAAGTTGTATTGTTTTGCTCCCATCTGTGTCAGTGCTGGCTTGTGCTATCACGCGGATGAAGAGATTAAGATCAAACTTGTATGCCACTTCTTGCCACCTGGCCAAAACTTTGGTGGCGTTCTGTCTCAATGTTTTGACAACATTGAAGGTTGTAACAATCGGGGGGACGGCTACGAGATTAAGTTTAAAAGCGATGACAACTCCGTATCCCGCAGAACCAGCTCCTCGAATTGCCCAGAAGAGATCTTCTCCCATAGACTTCCGGTCAAGCAAGCGGCCATTTACATCGACGAGCTGTGCGTCAATAATATTGTCTACGGAGGCGCCATACTTCCGTGTTAATGTGCCGATCCCACCACCGCTGAAATGGCCACCTATGCCGATGGTTGGGCAGAGGCCAGCAGGGAACGCTAAGGTTGTGTTATTCTTGGCGATGGTGTAGTAGAGTTCGCCTATGGTTGACCCGGCTTGAACCCAAGCGGTTTTTAATTTTGCATCGATTGATATGGAACGGAGAGCGGAGATGTCGAGGGCTATGAAGGGAGTGGAGTCGGGGCTTTTGAAGGCGGAGTAAGACATGCCTTCGTAGTCATGGCCGCCACTGCGGGTGCGTATGCGGAGGTTAGTTTCGCGTGCGCAGGTCACGGTGGCTTGGACATGGGATGGGGAGGTGGGTGAGACGATGAGGGATGGCGTGTAGGAGTTTGGTGAGATGAGGAAGCGTTGATTTTGGACGGAGGAGAGGAGGACGGAGCTGTATGAGGTGGTGTTAGGAAGGGAGAGGAGGTCAGGGGAATTGGTTTTGTTGGTGAAGCATTGGATGAAGGATTGGATGGGTGTGGTGTTGGTAGAGGAAACCAGAAGGGTGGAGGATAGGAGGAGGAGAACTGCAAGCATGGTTTTGTTTTGGGTAAATATTGATAGCTTCGATGATGCTACATCTCGTGTGCTTATATTCTTGTAATGGCTAGCCGATGCAACACGATTTTCTCGAAATACAGAGGGTTGAATTTGACTAATTCGACGGCATTTTGGATGTCTGACCGGATTCTTTTGATGGGGTGGGTTTGATTTATGAAAGTCAGAGCCGTTATAAATGATGACGGACTAAGTTGAGAAAGGTACGGACAGATTAATCTTTTTTCCAATTGGTAGTTGGAGCCGGCCACTTAAAAAGTAAAAATTATTCCATACATCCTCATCGTAAATCAAGTGATCTACGATCAGGATATATTTCGGTGGAACCCATCTAAATTTTAAAAAAAAAAAAAATTGAAATATATCCTGACCGTAGATCACCGTTATCTACGGTCAGGATCGGACACCGCATGCAGAGATGCATGCGATATTCGTATGCAAGACGCATGCAGAGATCATGCGATATTCGTATGCAAGAATTTCTCTGTTAAAAGAAAATTTTAAGCGGACTAACAAATGCGTTTTATTAAAAAATAATTTTTAAATGAAACGGTCTTATTAGGTGAGTTTTATTTGAAAAAGTATTTTTTGATCAAAATGTCAATTAAAGGAGCGTTCATAATAATTAAAATTTTTAATTCCAAAAACATAATTAAAAAATAGGTAAATTAAGAAAAAAAAAATGTAGGATTGAATTGTGCAGGTATAAATGAAACTAAATTTTGTATGATTAATTTGGTTAAATTTAAAAGTGTGAATTAGACATGTTAATTTCAAGCTACACTCAGATTGAGCATAAGTTTGATGAAGTAATCAACATCAAGGTTACTCGGACTTATATTTACGAGATCGAATCGGCTTGCAAGCGTATGAGATCATACCAACACTGAAATAGAATGAAAAATTATTAGATGAAAGTAAGAAGTCATAAAGTGATATTTATTGATGTTTTTTTCTAAAGGTTTATATTTTTATTAAGCTAATGCATGACCTTGTAGTTTTGTGAGACTGCATGAACTCGTAAAATTAAAATTGAACTTTACTTCAACCTTAATTAAGTAATATAATTTAAGCTTAAACTGAGGGTGACTCGAAATTGACTCGACTATTTTACACTCTTAATTCTAACCAATTTAACTATATGTAATTTAATTTCATTTCTACCTACACAAATCAATCCTACTTTTTCTTAAGTTACTTATATTTAAAAGATAAATTTTGAATGTAAAATTTTTAATTATTATGAAACACACCTTTTATTTGCATTTTAATTAAAAATAGTTTTTTTTTAATTAAAATAAACTAAAAGGGCATTTTATTTAAAGTATAATTAAAAAAAAAACAGCTTGTGCATTTTGTCCAATTCCATATTTATAATAAAATTGATCATTTTATTATAATTTGGTGAATATATGAATTGATTTAAGTAACTTTTATATAATTTTATGTGATAAAAATAATATGTTTCCTGTAATATAATAAAATTATAAAACTAACATGACTATATCTAATGAAATTCTAGTCTTCTCAATTATTATCTCTTTTTCAAATGTTGAATGGAATAAAAAATATTATCCTAATTTTTTAAAAATTATACATTTTTGTTTATTTGGACATATTATAAGACCTCCCATCAGATTAGATTTGCATATAAATCTTGATGAATGCATTTTAACCAATGTATATTACAGATTATTCATAAGATTGATTAATGCTAGTATTATAATAATGGAACAATAGCCAGGAGGCAATCAGCCAACCCCCAAGAGTATGCCATTCTCCGATGATGATGATGATGATGATGATGATGATGATGATGATGATGATGATGACAATATGTCGATCTTCAGATTTTTGTTAAGAAACATATCTTTTATAGTTATAATTATAATATATGTTTAATCCCCATAGGTGTTGTAATAGGGAAGTCCGTGTTCAGCTCATTTAATAATCATTGTTGTACATCAGAATGAGCTAGCATTAATCGCAAGGAGATCCAACAGATTAGGAGATAGAAAAGCACAGCTAAGGACGACTCACTTGCAGAAGACCAAAGAATCCATTTGACCATATGCAACCTATATACCAATGTTAGAGGCGAACCAGACATATGTCATCCAAACCAAGAACTAAGGGGATTCAAGCCGAGTAGAGCCATCAACCTACCTCTCACTACAACCCAACTCAAAGGAAGAGTTTAGTATCGCAAACATTCTCATGGACGCCCCTGAGTTTCCTCATCAGGGGCCAAGAATTGGCAGCATAACCATCGAGCATCCCTAAGGACCCCATCAACAAGGAATGAGCTGCCTAATAGCATTGTCTCATTCTACCAATTGGAGCTCCTCATCTGGAGAATGAAAGTCAATTGTCATACATGCTAGGCCACTTGAAAGTGGATTTTCTAGAGAGGAATTGGCTGATAAGTAAAGCCACGTAGACATTGTTAGGCTCATCTAGTTTTTTTGTTGGCCTTGGCCCTCTACGTCTTTCGGTGAACATGTTAGGCCACTTGAAGCAATCATTATATATATATATATATATCCAAATGAAGGTATAAATGGTCCCATAAAATCCAATCCCCACGCATCAAAAATTTCAATTTCCAAATTAATATATATAAACAAAAAAACCACAAATAATAGATACAGAGTGTATCCATTAGTATGTGAGAGATTGATTAATCAAATAAAATTGAAATTTACAAAATTCTAATGTAGGGGATACCCAGCTTATCCGCTACTAAAAGTAAGAAAAGAGCAGGACTTGGAGTTTTTCTAATTACAATTTCATTAGTAAGATTTCCTAATTTAGCAAGACACTTGGTAGGCCTATTTCCTTCTTTAAGATTGTTAGAGTATATGGTATTGATGGTAGCACCAAGGGACTTGAATTTGCTGTTCCAATGTGTCAAATGCAAGGTGGCTCCACCTAGTTCATCAAAATTTGTATCAATACTTGGGAGTCAGATTCAATGTGGACATGTTGCCAATTTCCCATTTACACAGATGAGGAGAGCCCAACAAACAACAATGGTTTCAGCTTCTAGTGCATCTTATGCCAAAGTTGGAGATTGGAAATATGGCAGACAGTTGCCCAAATGATCTCAGAAAACACCACAAATTCTTGTTTCTTCATGGAGGAAGCTACCATCTGTATTTACTTTTATCCAATGGTTGAGATGTTTTTGTTAGTACGCCTTAGAGACCAAGGGGTTTGAGTTCAGTGGGTTGATAGCAACATCAAATATAACCTAAATTCCATCATTGAATTCAAATCATCTGTCCTTTGGATCGTGTTTAAGGGATAGTGGATGAAACCCGAGAGAAGAAGAGAGAGAGAGAGAGAGAGAGAGAGATTTGCCCTGTCCGGGAGCAAGGCTCGGCGGCCCGTATTAGTCTACATAAGATTCAGTTACTATTGAGGGAGAAGGGGAGCCAGCTCCCTACTTGCTCCCAACATTGGTAGATCGCGCCTAAGGATTAATGCGTGAGATCCAAGAGATGGAGAGAAAGAGAGAGGCTTGCCCTGTTGGGGGGTAAAGAGGGGTGTCCTTGGGCTCGATAGCCCCTATTATTCCACAGAAGACACAGTTACAAATGAGGAAAAAGAGAAGCAAGCTCCCTACATGGGGGTAAGAGATAAAGAGAGCGAGACCTCTTTTTACATGCAAGGGGTCATTTATTTATAGATAAATAAAGAGGGGGAAAGAGAGATTATGTTTATGTCCCTATTTAAAGGGGAGCAGTGAGGAATTTTTGGGTCATCCTCCTAGAACTTCCTGCAGCTGGACTTGCCAACATCGAGTGGTCGACCTAAGTGGCGCGTCGGCTGGGAGTGGCAGGCAAAGGTGGCTGCCTACTTACTTTTTCTGTGGCTGGCCCATGGTAGTCTGGGTCTAGGGTAGCTGACCATGGTGACCGGACGGGTGATCTTTCCTGTGACTGACTAAAGTTAACTTTCATGTGGCCAAAGTGAACTTTCAATCGGGCGACTGGGATGGCTGGTCAATGTGGTTGGTCGAGAGAACCTTCATGTGATTGGCCCTTGGTGGATGGCCGAGAGAACTTTCATGTGGCCAGCCCTTCGTGGCCACCCAGATGCTTCCTGTGGCTAGCCCTTGGTGGTCGACCAGCTCCTCCTTGTGGTCGCTGAGAGCGGGTGGTCGACCAAAGTGGTCATTCTGTTGAGTGCAAGGCTCTGGCGACAACGACTTCGGTGGGCCGCATCGGCAGTTCCTTGGCTCGACGAGGTGGTCCTATTTTTAGGCTATACATTTATTTTTTATATTTATACCGCAAATATCAAATTTTAAATTTTAAAAAGTGAATTACAACTTTTCAAACAAAAATAAAAGTACACACACACATGTATATATTTATCTATACACATCTATAAAAAAAATAAAGTTTAAGCATATACATGTATATACATTGAATTAAATGGTCTATATGTAAATTTATTATTATTATTATTATTATTGATTTAAATTTAGTAGGAGAAATGAAGTTTTTTTAACTCTCTTTGGAGGAAAGGACGGTGGCTACCGAACATGTAAATTGGATGATTTGTCTTCAAACGTATCTTAATCGACGATTGCACAAATTCCATTAATGCTAACTGTTTAAATCAAATTATTAAATAGAATTTCAAGGTAATTCAATTAGATATTTAATCAAAACAAATATAATGTTTAATTTTATATTTAAATAAAACAAAGTTGAGAGTTTAATTTTTTTTTATTAAATTTAAATACAATTTATTATAAATAATTATTTTTTATAATATATTAAATTCATTTTAAAATAACATTTCTGGTCAAACTTTACATCTAGATTTTTTAATACAATTTTTTTAAATAAATATATATCTATATATATATATATATATA